CCTCCACTGGTCCCTGAACCAGATCAATCCAATCAATACCATCCCATCCTACCTTTCTAAGATCCATTCTAATATTGTCCGCCTACCTAAATCTTAACCGCCCTTTACTCTCCACAGAAAATCCTGGCACTCATTTCTGTTAAAGTCTGAGTCGACCCCAAGAACATACGTAGTAGGGCTTGAAAGACTAGGTCAACTGAAAAATCCAATGAACTCATCGGGAATCGAAACTGCAACCTTCCTGCTTCTAACACAGTCCCTCGACGAACTGGAATAAAAGTTTATCACGTTACTGTACAGCTAAGCTCACATTTACCCAAGCATTTTGCAAATGTTATTTCATAAGATATTCTTTATAAATATTGAAATTCACTTATCACTACACAGTACCCGAAGTATTTAAATTGTGGTTAATGTCCTCTGAATTGGCCTTTGGTCAAATCCAAACTCTACGTTGTAATATAAACTGATTGCCGTGAGTCGCCTGTCAGGCTTTTATTCAGAATCTCGAATTTTCACAATGGATAATCGGTTCTCGGCCTTCCATTTTCGGCCTCTGCTCCAAATGAGTCTCATTAATTTGGCTTCAGAGGCAAAATTCCTAATCCTCTTATAAACGTCCCTCTGTCTCTCTGGGCTGTAACAGGCGACTGCTTGAGCTCCCGGCGTCATCACACAAGGCTGCAGAAATTAAGGCAACGACCACCCTCAGTACAAGTTTTGTTCCAGTAGCTAATGACTTCGTAATTTGTAAAGGTAAAGAAAGGTAAAGGTGCCGGTCACGGTAGCAGAGCGGTCTAAGGCATGCACTGTCTTCGCTCGCTCTGAAGCCGGGTTTGTGGTTTCGGATCTGTTTCCTGTGAGGTACGGACTGAATTCTTATATATTATTCTTATACACTGCCGGTCACGGTAGCCGAGCGGTCTAAGGCATCCACTGTCTTCGTCCGCTTGGAAACCGGGATCATGGGTTCGAATCCCACTCAGGGCATGGATGTTTAGTTTGTGTATGTACGTTTTTCTGTGTTTGTGTACAGGTAGAGGCCTTTCGACGAGCTGATCACCCGCCCAAGGAGTCCTACCGAATGTCTAAGATCTAGAAAAACCGAAGTAAACGGAGAAGTTCATGGAGGTAGGCCTAGGCCCACTGGGGCTGTAGTGCCAAGGGAAAAAAAGGTAAAGGCAGAGTTGTCCCTATGCCTAACTAATTAAACACTATGACATCAAGACGTATGGGGGAGTGGATGCATCGATCCAATTATTGTTGACCACGGCGCTAGTTCGAGGTGAGTGGTTAGCTTCACGCCCCGACCGCTTAACACCCAGAGAAAGAATTAACTGTGACCAGTGGAAGGGTGGCTGAATGGGTCCTAGAGCAGGTGTAAAAATTATTAGAAGTTATCTGTTTTCTGCGACATAACGCTGTGTAGTCTGTTGAAAGTTGACACATCTTTTTTGAGGAATACAATGCCTCCATTTTCAGTGCCAAAAATAAAAAGCAAGAAACTATAAGGAAACAGAATACAGTGATATTCAACGGACTTAATTCATTCATTCATCATTGACATTAATGGATCTTGGCCTGTTCATCAGTTTCGTAAACATTTTAGACAGACGGTAGGATTCCTTGGACGAGGGATCAGCATGGCTGCTACCTACACATAGGACAAGACAAGCACAGAATAAACGCACACACAGACATCCATGCCGCGAGTGGGATAAGAACTCACGATTCCAGCGGTCGAGCGAACGAAAACAGTTCATGTCTCAGACGGAGCGTTCAACTGGCTATGTGGCTCTATATTTCAGAATATATGAGACTCTCAAATCCAACGAACTGTGTTAGTTTCATGATATCAAGGAAGGTACCTCCCCGTAGCAGGCGCAAGAAACTTAAATAGTGCATGCAGAATTTTCTTTGGGAAATCTCAAAGAAAGAGTCACATAAGATATCTTAGTTTATGAGGAAAGAAAATATTAAAATTGATCTTAAAGAAGCTGAATAATAGGGTGTGGTCTGGACAATGAGGCCCCTGACCAGAGCTGCGCCCCTGTGATACTAAAAACCCAAGTTTTCGGTTGCAAAAATGAGCAAAATACTTTAAAAATTTGAACTGTTTTCTTCTGTGTTCTAGGAATTGGTTAACTGATTCATTTTATTCTTGCCATAAATTTGATTGGAGTATTTGTATTAGTCAATGAAAATAAATACACAACACAGGGATGACAGATCAATATGGGGCAACGTTGGTATAAAATTTTGCAGGGGAGGAACGAAGAAAATCAGGGAGAAATCTGTTCCAATGGCATTATATTAACCAACATTTTTACATGAAATCATTCGGGGTGAAACCCAGGCCTTGTCGAAGAGAAGTCAGGTCTATCCGACTAATCTATGGCACATAACAATGATTTTATACATTTAATATTTAGCTTTCGGATTCAACTTTATTTATATATGTACATGGAGAATGTCAGCCTGGCATTGGCTGCAAGTAAATTCTCATTAGCTCTCAAATTCTATACTGAAATATAAACCACTGTATCCCCCTGCCGTACAATGTTTACAGGAGGCGTGTTTAGGAGAGCGCTCGTCACGCCATTTCCTAGCTATCTTTAGAATTTTGTTTGAAATTAGTTCGTGGTAACAAATGTTATTAATGTCAGATGAGCGCGCCGGACCAAATTGGGCCATTATGTCCAGAGTAACGGCTTCCCCGGCGCAGTGTTAATGAACAAATTTATATGCCATAACAATGATTACGATATTAATAGACGAAACACATCTCAATACCGTATGCTGTGTAAGGAACTGAATTATGTATTTAAGATCCAAGATAACACAGTAAATGGATTCCTATGTCTCATAACCAGAGTAAGATTTGTTATGATACAGCGGTTGGATTAGGGTACAATGGTAGTTTGGGAGAGGAAGGAGCTGTAAGCTAACGATTTTGAGAGCTAAAACTGTTTGAGACACGTTCATAAATTAAGGGTTAAGCGGGAGCCACAGTCAACTGTCACAAAAGGTTTTGTATTTTGAAAATTAGTGGCTACGTTGTTATTTCAGTAATTACCTTCTTATTTTGTATTCTAACTCTTAGGCTGCGGGCACTTTGTATACAGAGATTCTAATCTTCAATATAAATTTTAATTTGCCTCAAGTTTATTATTAATCTCAATTTAAAAAAATAAGTCTTGGGAACCTCTATCTTATTGTTCTCGATGACTTTCATTTCATTTTCCTTCTTTTATACAAATTTCCTCATCCTATACAAAAAAAACTCCGTGGCCCGTAGTCCGCAAGCGAACTATACCGACCGAGCGGCCGCCGCTTGGCGGCGAATTTAGAGCCAACTTTTGCGGATAGAGGGTGTCACTTGGTCAGTGTAACGAATCCCCACGGCCGTCAATCTCGGTTTTCTAGACCGGAGCCGCTATTTCCTTGAAATAGCTCTTCAATTATCCTCACGAGGCTGAGTTTCCTCACCCCATTCTTATTCTTATTTCTTCACTTTGTCAAAATAATAAGCTAACATTGATAATTAGGCTGTTACACACAACTCTGCGCTCGGACTATGGAAGAGCTACAATTGTAGGCAAATAATTTCTGAGGACTTGTTGAATTTGAAGTCCTCAGAGCGAAAGACTATGAAGAGTACGACCTTCTGCGATGTAGTGTCATGTATTTCAGAAAGGAACAACGTTTTTATTTCCTACTCGCCATAATCTTCGACCCTGAAAATGGAGGCGACTTATTCCTCAGACACATCGAACTTCGAAGACCGAACCATTCACTTAACTTTCAGTGAAATTCTGACCAATATCATGAAGTGCTTTATTTCGTTTTTACTCTAAACTCACCACGAAACCGGATACATGTCCCACAGTTTAGTTTCGACACTATACAGACATCCACTGCGGAACCGTTAGAGGGTCGTACCACGGAATAAGATATGCCATGAAATTTGCTAGGTTTACACTATATTCTGCGGGATTTCTTTTCCAGTGACCATTTCACTTTGTCTCTCCAATAATAAATGTCATTGTGACTGATTACGATTTCAGTAAAACTTCTCTCCTGAATGGCTCCAGCTTCCTGCGGGTTACTGGAATTGGGCTCATTTTCTAGCAGACCGGACGTATAATTAATCTCCCTTAGCGATACGTCAGAATATAAGCAGATAATTTTGGCGTCTTGCCTGGCGTTCTAATCGAAGTGGCGACAGATGGAAATGCAAAGGAAACTCATTTCAATAACAGTTGGCAGAGATCGTTATACACACATACACACACACACTCACTACAAAAATATCTGGAACTATTCGAATAATGTTTTCCCAAGAGAGAAACTACAGGGTGATTCTCATGCTAGGAAACTGAAACATTCCTCAGCATCTTTTCAATTTTTGTACGGTTCCCTATGAAAATTGACATGTACTTACCGTGTATATTAAAAAATAAGGACTTCCTAAAATATATGCTGAAATAGCCCCCTCAATCATCCAATTACTTTTGTATGCGAGTCTGCAAATTGGAGAAGACATCTAGTAATATGACATCGGTAATGGCAGAAACCTCCCGCCGTATAGCCTCTTTGAGGGCATTAAATTATTTCTGTATAAATGACCCTCCAGTAAACCCAACAATAAAAAATTAGGAGGTGTCAGGTCTTGTAATCTTTGGCGGATACAGATTTTTCGAAATTAATCGATCATCGAAAAACTTTCAATTTTCTCCATGCTTCCATTAGATGTGTGGCACTTTGCGTCATCTTGTTGAAAGGAAGCTTCGGTAGACTTAAGCTTCGTCCATGACAATTTTTATAAGGAACCATATAAAATGAAGAAGTTATTGAGGAATATTTGGGTTTCATAGCGAGAGGATTTTCCACACTTCAGACCTTCTTTCAGTACATTATGACAAACCAACGATATTTGTGTTTCATGGAAATAAGTTCTATTCCAGAAGATTAGTAAGAACTACTGTTAGATTTCTTACCTTAAGAAGCCTGTGCATAATTGTCCTCCGAGACCTGAAAAGCAGAAATATTAACATTAGTTCTTAGCTAGAAATCTGAGGTTCCAACTTGCGAGGAAAATGATCACTGTATTCTGGAATGTTCCGCATTATAATCTGATATTTATCACCTATTCGGAAAATACGCACTACCTCCATCTTCACTGTAGAAGCGGGGTGACAGTAACTTCCAGGTTTTTGACAGAACTGACTGATACCCTCTCCTTCCCTCGATACAGAAACAAGGTATTCTTCTGAAATGCAAGTGAACTTTACGGGAGTACTCTTTGAGCAACACCCCACCAGATGATGCAGTCGAAATCCGGGCTTACACGCAACGTGTTCTCGAAAACGTGTCGTAAATTCGTAACAGAAGCCCATTATCACAGGTGTGTTCGTTCCTAGAACTCGAAACTCGGACCCAATTTTTCAATATTTTAACCAAACCTAACCTGTAACTCTAGGGTTAATCATATGTAAAGGGGATGTGCGTGACTTATAAAGACGGATTCTGGATTGGATAATTGGATTCATTGGCATCTTATTCACACAACTCGAGACTACATGCAATACAGCGCTATTGCTGATGTACACAATTTTCAGTTCACCGTTACAACTAGTCGTATCCTGGCAACGGATTTATAAGTCTCACTGTAACTTCAAATCTACATGGAGTGTTCTTGTCGCAGTCTAATTCCTGTCTTGCTATATTTTCTCAGTCACTTTCGATTGTCATCTCCAAAACTCGACCCAGTTCTCGACAGCACCCAATTCAAGTGTCCAAGTCCAAGTCCAAGTCCAAGACACATTGCGACTGACGGTCAGTTAGTAAATCTCGGTGTCGAGCCCCATCTGGGGCTCATGACCAGATATTTATTACTATTTGGCAATTACGGTCTCGTTCTTATGGGGCTCCCTCTCTGACGAGAGGACGGCTCTGCCTTTTGTATAAGGTGCCGGCCCTTGCCAGTGCAGTCTTTCTGAGGTCTGAGTCCCTTGGGAGACGCGACCATATTTTACTGTCTCAGGTTTGAAACTTCCCTTTTCGTCGCCTCCTGCGACTCGTAGGGTCACGGTGGAGGTATTCGACCCCAACGATTCTATTTGTCCCTTCATAAACACTCGGCGAGGACCAAGTAGAAAACACAGGATCCCTGTTGCTAAAAAGAATTGTTTACTGATCATTGCTTAGCAATGAACATCCAAATTTTGCTCGTATGCTTTCACGAAAATATGTTCACCGAGTCGTTGCCTAGTAACGGGTAAATATGTCACAATGTTATAGAATTGATGAAGGAAAATGAATTATCGTAGTATTCAACAGTTCAACAGTTAAAAATATTAAATATAAGTAAATTTACTAACATTTAATCATGGATTTTTTATGGTTATGATTCGAGTTATGACAATATTTATAACTTTCATAAACGATTAAATTAATATTTAATCAAAATGCGACATCTCGAGCCTCTCGTCGAATTCCAACATGCGAGCTCTGAACATGGGAGATTTTTGTTGTAGGCTGAACTTGGGAGATGATGCCGAAAGAGCAATCGTTGGGGGTTCTTAGTTTTTATGAATAAGCTGCCCAAGTTTCTAAATTCGAGTTTAGAGCTGTAAATCCGAAAATTCGGATGGTAAGTCTAACGTGTGTTATTTCCGTTATATTCGAAACTTCCCCAGTAGGAAAGCGGTATGTAAGGGTACGCCTGTTCTCTTAACGACATGTACATGTTGCTAACTTCAGTCAATTCCAAAATTAATATTCAGAATGCTCCGGCATCGATTCTCTGTCTGTGTCTCTTTCTGCAACCTACAGCGAAACATTCCATATTAATCCCCAACTCCTTTATATGTAACAAGGCACTATAAACAGTACGACTAATTTTATATCCCAAAATTGCTAGAAAGTTCTTTATATGTTCTTTGTCTGAAAGCGTAATGTCTCTCGAGACATTCCTTAAACTGAACCTGAGGGTATATTTTCGATCCCAGTTACCATGGAAACCAGGCAATTACTGAAATGGTAGAGGATAATAAATACTTAAATCGTGTATCTCTTTCAAATAAAATAAACAGATAAAGAAATACGTGGATCTGAGATAAATGAGCAATTGATATGAGTAAGATAACCTCATTTCTTCTCTGTTTCTTGTCTCTGTCCTGGCAAAGGTTCTTGAAGCCGTTACATAAGAAGAAGATACAAAATTGGTGATTCTTAACAGGATATACAATGAGATACATAAGGGGCACGTGAGGTATATTTCATAATATCAAACACAGATCGGAGGGACCAAGAGGAATCTCTTGACAATTTTCTTGTGTACATGTATATTTGTTCGTGGAATTAAATAATGTTTACAATTAAGAAGTCTCTATGTATAGTACCTTTAGTTTACTTCTGTGGTTTATTTTAAAATGCTTTCAGGATCTACATCGAGCCATTGCTCACTCAATCTTGGAGCTGAGCCCTTCTTGAGAATCAGCCAATTCTGCAGCTACTCAAGAATTTCCCAGCATTTTATTGAACCCGAAGGTTCATTACCGTGTTCACAAGAGCCCTCCACTGGTCCCTATCCTGAGCCAGATCAATGCAATTCATCCCATCCTATCTCTCTAAGATCCATTTTAATATTGTCCACCCACGTACGCCTTGTCTTACCACTGGTCTCTTTCCTTCTGGCTTTCCCACCAATATCTTATATGCATTCCTGTCCTCCCCCATTCGTGTTACATGCCCTGCCCACCTCATCCTTGACGTGATCATTCTAATTATACTTGGAGAAGAGTACAACTTATGAAGCTCCTCATTATGCAGTTTTCTCCAACTTCCCATCACTTCATCTCTCTTCGGTCCAAATATTCCCCTCAGCACTCTGTTCTCAAACACCCTCAGTCTATATTCCTCCCTTAATGTCAGAGACCAAGTTCCACACCCATACAGAGAAGACCGTATACAACGTCGAATCTTAACGATA